AGTTCAGTTCTAGTTCAGTTCTAGTTCAGTTCTAGTTCAGTTCTAGTTCAGTTCTAGTTCAGTTCTAGTTCAGTTCTAGTTCAGTTCTAGTTCAGTTCTAGTTCAGTTCTAGTTCAGTTCTAGTTCAGTTCTAGTTCAGTTCTAGTTCAGTTCTAGTTCAGTTCTAGTTCAGTTCTAGTTCAGTTCTAGTTCAGTTCTAGTTCAGTTTAGTTCAGTTCTAGTTCACTCTAGTTCAGTTCTAGTTCAGTTCTAGTTCAGTTCTAGTTCAGTTCTAGTTCAATTCTAGTTCATTCTAGTTCAATTCTAGTTCAATTCTAGTTCAGTTCTAGTTCAGTTCTTGTTCAGTTCTAGTTCAGTTCTAGTTCAGTTCTAGTTCAGTTCTAGTTCAGTTCTAGTTCAGTTCTAGTTCAGTTCTAGTTCAGTTCTAGTTCAGTTCTAGTTCAGTTCTAGTTCAGTTCTAGTTCAGTTCTAGTTCTAGTTCAGTTCTAGTTCAGTTCTAGTTCAGTTCTAGTTCAGTTCTAGTTCAGTTCTAATTCAGTTCTAGTTCAGTTCTAGTTCAGTTCTAGTTCAGTTCTAGTTCAGTTCTAGTTCAGTTCTAGTTCAGTTCTAGTTCAGTTCTAGTTCAGTTCTAGTTCAGTTCTAGTTCAGTTCTAGTTCAGTTCTAGTTCAGTTCTAGTTCAGTTCTAGTTCAGTTCTAGTTCAGTTCTAGTTCATTCTAGTTCAGTTCTAGTTCAGTTCTAGTTCAGTTCTAGTTCAGTTCTGGTTCAGTTCTAGTTCAGTTCTAGTTCAGTTCTAGTTCAGTTCTAGTTCAGTTCTAGTTCAGTTCTAGTTCAGTTCTAGTTCAGTTCTAGTTCAGTTCTAGTTCAGTTCTAGTTCAGTTCTAGTTCAGTTCTAGTTCAGTTTAGTAGTTCAGTTCTAGTTCAGTTCTAGTTCAGTTCTAGTTCAGTTCTAGTTCAGTTCTAGTTCAGTTCTAGTTCAGTTCTAGTTCAGTTCTAGTTCAGTTCTAGTTCAGTTCTAGTTCATTCTAGTTCAGTTCTAGTTCAGTTCTAGTTCAGTTCTAGTTCAGTTCTAGTTCAGTTCTAGTTCAGTTCTAGTTCAGTTTAGTTCTTAGTTCAGTTCTAGTTCAGTTCTAGTTCAGTTCTAGTTCAGTTCTAGTTCAGTTCTAGTTCAGTTCTAGTTCAGTTCTAGTTCAGTTCTAGTTCAGTTCTAGTTCAGTTCTAGTTCAGTTCTAGTTCAGTTCTAGTTCAGTTCTAGTTCAGTTCTAGTTCAGTTCTAGTTCAGTTCTAGTTCAGTTCTAGTTCAGTTCTAGTTCAGTTCTAGTTCAGTTCTAGTTCAGTTCTAGTTCAGTTCTAGTTCAGTTCTAGTTCAGTTCAAGTTCAGTTCTAGTTCAGTTCTAGTTCGTTCTAGTTCAGTTCTAGTTCAGTTCAGTTCAGTTCTTCAGTTCTAGTTCAGTTCTAGTTCAGTTCTAGTTCAGTTCTAGTTCAGTTCTAGTTCAGTTCTAGTTCAGTTCTAGTTCAGTTTTAGTTCAGTTCTAGTTCAGTTCTAGTTCAGTTCTAGTTCAGTTCCAGTTCAGTTCTAGTTCAGTTCTAGTTCAGTTCTAGTTCAGTTCTAGTTCAGTTCTAGTTCAGTTCTAGTTCAGTTCTAGTTCAGTTCTAGTTCAGTTCTAGTTCAGTTCTAGTTCAGTTCTAGTTCAGTTCTAGTTCAGTTCAAGTTCAGTTCTAGTTCAGTTCTAGTTCAGTTCTAGTTCAGTTCTAGTTCAGTTCTAGTTCAGTTCTAGTTCAGTTCTAGTCAGTTCTAGTTCAGTTCTAGTTCAGTTCTAGTTCAGTTCTAGTTCAGTTCTAGTTCAGTTCAAGTTCAGTTCTAGTTCAGTTCTAGTTCGTTCTAGTTCAGTTCTAGTTCAGTTCAGTTCTAGTTCAGTTCTAGTTCAGTTCTAGTTCAGTTCTAGTTCAGTTCTAGTTCAGTTCTAGTTCAGTTCTAGTTCAGTTCTAGTTCAGTTTAGTTCAGTTCTAGTTCAGTTCTAGTTCAGTTCTAGTTCAGTTCAGTTCAGTTCTAGTTCAGTTCTAGTTCAGTTCTAGTTCAGTTCTAGTTCAGTTCTAGTTCAGTTCTAGTTCAGTTCTAGTTCAGTTCTAGTTCAGTTCTAGTTCAGTTCTAGTTCAGTTCTAGTTCAGTTCTAGTTCAGTTCTAGTTCAGTTCTAGTTCAGTTCTAGTTCAGTTCTAGTTCAGTTCTAGTTCAGTCTAGTTCAGTTCTAGTTCAGTTCTAGTTCAGTTCTAGTTCAGTTCTAGTTCAGTTCTAGTTCAGTTCTAGTTCAGTTCTAGTTCAGTTCTAGTTCAGTTCTAGTTCAGTTCTAGTTCAGTTCTAGTTCAGTTCTTAGTTCAGTTCTAGTTCAGTTCTAGTTCAGTTCTAGTTTCTTCTAGTTCAGTTCTAGTTCAGTTCTAGTTCAGTTCTAGTTCAGTTCTAGTTCAGTTCTAGTTCAGTTTCTAGTTCAATTCTAGTTCATTTGTTCAGTTCTAGTTCAGTTCTAGTTCAGTTCTAGTTCAGTTCTAGTTCAGTTCTAGTTCAGTTCTAGTTCAGTTCTAGTTCAGTTCTAGTTCAGTTCTAGTTCAGTTCTAGTTCAGTTCTAGTTCAGTTCTAGTTCGTTCTAGTTCATTTCTAGTTCAGAGTTCTAGTTCAGTTCTAGTTCAGTTCTAGTCAGTTCTAGTTCAGTTCTAGTTCAGTCTAGTTCAGTTCAGTTCAGTTCTAGTTCAGTTCTAGTTCAGTTCTAGTTTCAGTTCTAGTTCAGTTCTAGTTCAGTTTAGTTCAGTTCTAGTCAGTTCTAGTTCAGTTCTAGTTCAGTTCTAGTTCAGTTCTAGTTCAGTTCTAGTTCAGTTCTAGTTCAGTTCTAGTTCAGTTCTAGTTTTCAGTTCTAGTTCAGTTCTAGTTCAGTTCTAGTCAGTTCTAGTTTCAGTTCTAGTTCGTTCTAGTAGTCAGTTCTAGTTCAGTTCTAGTTCAGTTCTAGTTCAGTTCTAGTTCAGTTCTAGTTCAGTTCTAGTTCAGTTCTAGTTCAGTTCTAGTTCAGTTCTAGTTCAGTTCTAGTTCAGTTTCTAGTTCAGTTTAGTTCAGTTCTAGTTCAGTTCTAGTTCAGTTCTAGTTCAGTTCTAGTTCAGTTCTAGTTCAGTTCTAGTTCAGTTCTAGTTTCAGTTCTTAGTCGTTCTAGTTCAGTTCTAGTTCAGTTCTAGTTCAGTTCTAGTTCAGTTCTAGTTAGTTTAGTTCAGTTTCGTTAGTTCTAGTTCAGTTCTAGTTAGTTTGTTCAGTCTAGTTCAGTTCTAGTTCAGTCTAGTCAGTTCTAGTTCTTCAGTTCTAGTTCAGTTCTAGTTCAGTTCTAGTTCAGTTCTAGTTCAGTTCTAGTTCAGTTCTAGTTCAGTTCTAGTTCAGTTCTAGTTCAGTTCTAGTTCAGTTCTAGTTCAGTTCTAGTTTCAGTTCTAGTCAGTTTCTAGTTCAGTTCTAGTTCAGTTCTAGTTCAGTTCTAGTTCAGTTCTAGTTCAGTTCTAGTTCAGTTCTAGTTCAGTTCTAGTTCAGTTCTAGTTCAGTTCTTTGTTCTAGTTCAGTTCTAGTTCAGTTCTAGTTCAGTTCTAGTTCAGTTCTAGTTCAGTTCTAGTTCAGTTCTAGTTCAGTTCTAGTTCAGTTCTAGTTCAGTTCTAGTTCAGTTCTAGTCAGTTCTAGTTCAGTTCTAGTTCAGTTCTAGTTCAGTTCTAGTTCAGTTCTAGTTCAGTTCTAGTTCAGTTCTGTTCAGTCTAGTTCAGTCTAGTTCAGTTCTAGTTCAGTTTCAGTTCAGTTCTAGTTCAGTTCTAGTTCAGTTCTAGTTCAGTTCTAGTTCAGTTCTAGTTCAGTTCTAGTTCAGTTTAAGAAGAAAACTAAATAAATATTTGAAGGCAATCCATTGTTGTTGTCTTTATTTTAAAAATATTTGTTGGGTTTGAAAGGTATTTATTATTTAAACCCAGTTGTTGGGTTTGAAAGGTATTTATTATTTAAACCCAGTTCATACAACCCACATTGAAATTTATTTTAAGAATTTTTCTCATATTTATTTTGTAATTTAAGCAATTAAGCTGGATTGTGCATATTATTTTATTTTTAAATATAAAATAAAATGTTGCTTAAATATTTTAATAAGGAAAAGGGAGAGAAGTAAACAATTTAAATTAATTGCTAAGATTTTAGAGTAATAAACAAAAATTAAGGAAGACATTTCTTTATGTAAATTAAAAAAAAAAGAATAATGGAAACCCAGGATTCGACTAAATGTCGGTCATAATGAAGTGTAGTACAAACAACCTTGTTAGATTAGTTAAGACAGCAATCTTTGATCATTTATGATTATTAAAATCTTATTGATTCTAAAATGTTTTTACTCAATTAAATTTTCATTCGTATTTCCCCTAAGTATAACTAAAAATATGTCACTTAATATAACAAACTCTTTATAACAAAATGTATATATGCCACATAAGTGTCAATACTTTATTATCTTAGATTTTTATATTGACTACAACAAGGACTTGTTTGCTTTTGTGGTTAAAACATAAAAACTTGTCCCTTTTAAAAGCAAAAACAAATCAACAAATAAAGAAATAAAATAAATATGAACTGATAAAAACTGATTAGCAAATACTCGGGAGATTTTCTATGTCAAAAGAAATATTTATGTAACAGACTTTAAGAACAATTTGACAAAAAATAAAAAAATAAATAAAAGAAAACTAAACCACAAAAATATTTACTTACATCAGGGATGGAAAAGTTAAAGCAATTAATAATGGTAATTTTTGTAAAACAGTTCTCCCTAAAGAAAAATTGGTCTACAATTTTTTTTAATGGAAAATGTTAGGATTTCTTTAGATAAATTATTGTATAACAGTTTGCCATCCCTGTACATAAATATTGAAAAAACACAACTTTGTAATATATTTTTAATGTTTATTTGTTGCTTTCATTTCCCTTTCTATCTCTCTCTTTGCAGCTTAAATAACCTGCAGCTATAAATCAAAGCGGAAACCCATTAAAACACGCCAATAACAAATAACTTTACTACATCACCATCATCCTCATCAGACTACTATAACCCACACTGTTTTACAATATAGATGTATTGATAAAACATAAATATAAAAATCATTTTCAAAAAATAAAGAAAATTTGAAATTTGTTACAAGGATATTTATAAATGTTGCAGAATACGGAATGCGAGCCGTTGCGCACAGCCCAAGGAAATAAAATAAATCTTTAACAGGTAATTTCTTCAATATTTTTATATTCAAATTTATTGTAGTTTTATTTTTTTTTTTTTCAAACTGGAAACTAACTTAGCAATGAAATATGATGATGATAAGGAAATGAAAAATGAGTGAAGGAGGAAATGTGTTATAATTAGGCAGTTAATTTATAAAATTTATTTAAATTTATGATTTGTGTTTGCACAGCGATTCGAAAAGTAATAAAAGTAATAATTTAATATTTATGAAAAAATATATAGTATTACTTGCATTACGTTTCTTTTAACTGAGAAATATAAGAATAAACATTTTTAACTGAATTAGAACTGAACTAGAACTGAACTAGAACTGAACTAGAACTGAACTAGAACTGAACTAGAACTGAACTAGAACTGAACTAGAACTGAACTAGAACTGAACTAGAACTGAACTAGAACTGAACTAGAACTGAACTAGAACTGAACTAGAACTGAACTAGAACTGAACTAGAACTGAACTAGAACTGAACTAGAACTGAACTAGAACTGAACTAGAACTGAACTAGAACTGAACTAGAACTGAACTAGAACTGAACTAGAACTGAACTAGAACTGAACTAGAACTGAACTAGAACTGAACTCGAACTGAACTCGAACTGAACTAGAACTGAACTAGAACTGAACTAGAACTGAACTAGAACTGAACTAGAACTGAACTAGAACTGAACTAGAACTGAACTAGAACTGAACTAGAACTGAACTAGAACTGAACTAGAACTGAACCCTTTTGTTATTATGGAAAATTTTTGTATAACAGTTATTCTTTGTTATGTTAAAATCTATGAAATTGTATTTGTTTCGTTAGTATTTATTCTACAAGGAAAATTATTTTAAATATCTGTCAAAGACATGCAAAATTCATATAAAATTCAAATTCAAACACAAATAAAACATGGTTGGTGGTAAAAGTGGTGGCTGATATTTATTTACTTATTTATGTATTTTTGCTTTATTTAATTTGCGCACTTTTCAAATAAAACGAAAGAATGAATTGTGAACAGGAATTTTTGTGCAATATTGAAAAACATTCGTATGTAGATTTAAATGTCATATACACAAAGCTTTAATATATACAGTATAAACATACATACATATTTACATATGTATATATATATATGTGTATGTGTGTATATTTTAGCATAAATATTGTCTTGATATTAATGGTGTAATATAGAATATTTTGTTTGTTTCTTTTGATTGATGTCAATTCCTGTTTTATTGATTATTATATAAGTTGACACTGACATTTGGCTTAAACACACAGAAATTCTCTTTATATTTAAATCTACATTTTGAGAAATGTATTTTTGATTATTATTTTTGTTATAATAAACATGCATTATTATGTCGAAATGTATATTTAAGAAATATCTAATGTTACTAAAGGATTTTAAGAAAATGTAATTTTCTTTCAAAGAGAGAGCGATTTTTACAGTAATATTTACACTTTTTTAATCTGTTATACACAATTTTCCTAAAGAAAAATTCTATGTTTTAAATTTCTAATTGTAAAAAACTGTTATACTTAATACTAAAGATAAATCCATTGCACAAATTTTCTTCTAAAACAATTTTATACACAATTTTGTTCTAAAGAAAAAGCATGCTCATTGTGTTAAAAACTGTTATACACAATTTTTCCCCTGGAAAATACTGTTATACGCAATTTTTTTAGAGAGAAGACTGTTATACACAATTTTTTCTGTTGAATAAGATGTTATACACAATTTCTCCCTGTTATACGCAATTTTTCCTAAGGAAAAAACCTTTATAAACAATTTTTTTCTAGTGAAAAACTGTTATACACAAGTTTTCTTAAAGAAAACACAGTTCTACACAATATTTTATGTAGAAAGTTATGATATACACAATTTTTCTTAAACAAAACTGTCATACAAATATTTTTTCTGAAGAAGAACACATTTATTCACATTTTATTCTGAAGAAAATACTGTTATACACTATGTTTTCTAAAGAAGAAACTGTTATACACCACTTTTTCTAATGAAAAAACTGTAATACACTAGTTTTTCTAAAGAAAATACTGTTATACACTATTTTTTTTCTAAAGAAAAAACTGTTATGCACAATTTTTTCTAAAGAAAAAACTGTTATACAGAATTTTTTCTAAAGAAAAAACTGTTATACACCACTTTTTCTAAAGAAAAAACTGTTATACACTATTTTTTCTAAAGAAAAAACTGTTATACACTATTTTTTCTAAAGAAAATACTGTTATACACTATTTTTTCTAAAGAAAATATTGTTATGCACTATTTTTTCTAAAGAAAAAACTGTTATACAGAATTTTTTCCAAAGAAAAAACTGTTTTACAGAATTTTTTCTTAGGAAAAAACTGTTATACACAACATTTCCTAAAGAAAAACAGTTATACACAATATTTCCTAAAGAAAAACAGTTATACCCAATTTTTCCTAAGGAAAAAAACTGTTATACACAATTTTTTCTAACACAAAAACTGTTATATACAAGTTTTCCAAGAAAAAAACTATTCTACATAATGTTTTCTGTAGAAAAAAATGTTATACACAATTTGTTTTAATGAAAAAAACTGTCATACACATTTAAAGAGAATTTTTTAACCCCTTAACTTTATAGTTATTGGATTAACAATCATGTCCTTCTGAAATATTTGGTTTCAATTCGTTGTATGTGTAAATAAACTTCTTCATGATGCAGAAACTTCAAACTAGACATTTACGTGAGCTATGCTGTCTATAATCTTTGACAATGTTTTTCCAGTTGTACAATGCTGAAGTATTTTTGTTCTTTAATTTCACCTGTCACGTTTAATTAACAAAATTGGAAGTTTTTCGCAATGAAATAAAAAAACTTCTTACACTCTAGCGAACCCTATGAACGTTTTAATCAAGAATGTTTTCAGAATAAAAAAAAATTCTAGAAAAACAGTACGTTTTTTATTTACAACCCCACTACAATTAATTGTTTTTTGTTTTGGTGATGCTGCTGCCAGTGGTGTCAACGCTATATATAACACAGCTGCCCTTGCTCGTTTTTTGCTCTTTTACTTTAACTTTATGGCAGCAGGTCATGAAATATTATGTTTCTTTGCTTTTTACATTTTTTTTTTTCCTGGAAATTTTGCACTAACTAGAAAACAAGTATAATTTTGTTTTTGTTAAGAAATTTAAGTTTGTTTAATGTTTTTCAAAAGAAAGGGGAAGGTTGGAGGAGGTATTTGTATACTTTAGGGGGCGTTAGCTAATAAATTAATTTTTAAATTACAGAGGAAATGTGTTCGTCATAATACCTACGTATCAGGTCAATGTTCAAGTTATAAAGGAAATAAATTATTAAATATAAATAAATGTATGTACTAAAAAAAAAATAAATAAATAAGACATTTAAATTAATTGTTAAAAGTAAAAAAATGTTTAGGAAAAAAATATTAAGTTTTAGTCAATATCTTAATGCTAAATCTAATTTCTGAATTTCATTGCGATATAACTGTTTATAAGAGACATTCAAGTCATTTTCTGGAGGGGTCATTATATGGGAGCTTTGGTCACATGAGGCCAGATCATTACGAAATATGGTAAGGTCATCAATGCTTATATAAAACTTAGCTGTACTGCGTTTTATAGAACATAATTATGAGCTCGCTCTTGGACCAAAAAAAAATTATGTGCCAAATTTCATCCAATTATCTTGCAAATTTTCATCCAGACGGTCATGGCTGAATCGACTCAAAAAATGTTTCAGAAGCGATAGGTATCCTTAAAGATGGATACAGGACGAATAGCTCTTAGTTAGTTAGTTAGTTAGGTAGTAGTTAGTTAGTTAGTTAGTTAGTAGCTAGTAGTTAGTTAGTAGTAGTTAGTTAGTAGTTAGTTAGTTAGTTAGTTAGTTAGTTAGTAGTTAGTTAGTTGTAGTTAGTTAGCTTAGTAGGTTAGTTAGTTAGTTAGTTAGTAGTTAGTTAGTTAGTTAGTTAGTTAGTAGTTAGTTAGTTAGTTAGTTAGTTAGTTAGTTAGTAGTTAGTTAGTTAGTAGTTCGTAGTAGTTGTAGTTAGTAGTTAGTTAGTTAGTAGTTAGTTAGTTAGTTAGTTAGTTAGTTAGTTAGTAGTTAGTTAGTTAGTTAGTTAGTTAGTTAGTTAGTTAGTTCGGTAGTTAGTTAGTTAGTAGTAGTTAGTTAGTTAGTTAGTTAGTTAGTTAGTTAGTTAGTTAGTTAGTTAGTTAGTAGTTAGTTAGTTAGGTTAGTTAGTTAGTTAGTTAGTTAGTTAGTTAGTTAGTTAGTTAGTTAGTTAGTAGTTAGTTAGTTAGTTAGTTAGTTAGTTAGTTAGTTAGTTAGTTAGTTAGTTAGTTAGTTAGTTAGTTAGTTAGTTAGTTAGTAGTTAGTTAGTTAGTTAGTTAGTTAGTTAGTTAGTTATTAGTTAGTTAGTTAGTTAGTTAGTTAGTTAGTTAGTTAGTTAGTTAGTTAGTTAGTTAGTTAGTTAGTTAGTTAGTTAGTTAGTTAGTTAGTTAGTTAGTTAGTTAGTTAGTTAGTTAGTTAGTTAGTTAGTAGTTAGTAGTTAGTTAGTTAGTTAGTTAGTTAGTTAGTTAGTTAGTAGTTAGTTAGTTAGTTAGTTAGTTAGTTAGTTAGTTAGTTAGTAGTTAGTTAGTTAGTTAGTTAGTTAGTTAGTTAGTTAGTTAGTTAGTTAGTTAGTTAGTTAGTTAGTTAGTTAGTTAGTTAGTTAGTTAGTTAGTTAGTTAGTTAGTTAGTTAGTTAGTTAGTTAGTTAGTTAGTTAGTTAGTTAGTTAGTTAGTTAGTTAGTTAGTTAGTTAGTTAGTTAGTTAGTTAGTTAGTTAGTTAGTTAGTTAGTTAGTTAGTTAGTTAGTTAGTTAGTTAGTTAGTTAGTTAGTTAGTTAGTTAGTTAGTTAGTTAGTTAGTTAGTTAGTTAGTTAGTTAGTTAGTTAGTTAGTTAGTTAGTTAGTTAGTTAGTTAGTTAGTTAGTTAGTTAG